TGGGGGTGACAGCCCTGGGGCCGTGGGATGACAGCCCTGGGCTCGGGTGTGCCATGCTGAGCACGTGGTGACAGAGCTGCCAGTGTCCCCAGCAGGTTCCCTGCCAGATCACACTCTTAACCTTTGGCAGTTTTAGGGTTCGTGTTGCAATATGTGAGTTGTCCTGTTCAGCCTAAAAGTGGCACAGCTGAGAAACATGCCCAGAAATGACTAGGTTTGTCTGAAACACAGAGATTCAGGGATTTGGTTTTGGTTTGTTTTTTTTCAACTCTGTTTTGCAGGAGTTATTTTTCTTAAACAGCTTTGGACCAGGTGTTTGCAGTTTGGGCAATGCTGTGGGGTTTTGTGTAGCCCTGCAGTAGTTCCAGGGAGCATCCCCTAGGCGTGGGCATGGCCTGAGCAGACTTAGGAATTTCTTGTTTGGGCAGGATTTAGAAGACTTTCATGAATGTAAAACATGACTGTCATTTGTTGTATACATGAACGTATCACTTAAGCTACCTGGTTTCATCCACCCAGTAAATGTGCCTCCATATTCAGCTCTAGCTTAAAGGTTCATCAAAATTGTTTTTTTTCTCTTACAAGTGTCTGAGTAATAAGACTTCAGCATCTTTATTTTTGCTCCTGCACTGTGAATTGAATATTTAAGTGTTGGTTGATCTCACTAGTGTGCTCCAGTACATCGCATCCTTTCGTGGCACTGATGTGGGAGCTGGTTGCCCTCTGCAGTTTTCTAGACGAGGCTGAGAACACACACAGCACAAGCTGCACAGGGCTCCCCTTGAGAAGGAACTTTCTCCCTCCCAGGCTGGAAACCAACCCTTTAACCGTGCCATGCTCTTCAACGTTGGCTTTCGGGAAGCAATGAAGGACTTAGACTGGGACTGCCTCATCTTCCACGACGTGGACCACATACCCGAAAATGACCGGAACTATTATGGGTGTGGACAGATGCCGAGGCACTTTGCAGCCAAGCTGGATAAGTACATGTACCTGTGAGCACTGTTTTTCCTTCCTGTTACGGTAACAGCTGAGCAGCCAGTGTTAGGTTTTATTTAATTTTTTAAGGGCAGAGGATGAACCTGGGCCTGTTCTCAGGCTTTGTGCAAAGGGAGCACCAGAGGGAAGAGCAGAGAGCATCCTCGTGGCTCAGGCAGGAGGGCTGTGGCTCTGGTGGGCTCTGCCCTAAGCCCTTCTCTCCCACACAGGCTCCCGTACAATGAGTTCTTCGGGGGGGTGAGTGGCCTGACTGTCGAGCAGTTCCAGAAGATCAACGGCTTCCCCAACGCCTTCTGGGGCTGGGGTGGTGAGGATGACGACCTCTGGAACAGGTACGGGCTGGGTGCAGCTCTGGGAGCTGTGAGCCAAGCCTGGCACGTGCTGTGAGCAGACAGCTGTCAGTGCTGCCGGCACTGGCCTCGCTGTGCCCGCGCGCCCTGGGCTGGGGAAGAGCCAGCCCAGCTGCAGTGGCTCCGTGGGCACGGGGGCTGCTCCAGCCTGAGCAGGCGGTGCATGGGCAGCAGAGGAGTGCTGGTTGGCAGCTGTAGGCTCTGTGCAGCATCATCCCGTGCTGTGTAGCTCGGACTGGTCACAGCCGAGCAGGAGCCCTGAGGTGTCGCTGGGCTCCCCTGGAGCCCTGGCTGGAGAGGGAGGTCTGTGTGGCTTCTCTGTGGCTGGAGGGCCGAGCCGTGGCTGGAGCCCCAGGAGCAGTGAGCCCTGGAGGCACGGCCAGCACAACAAACACCGCGGGTGTTTTTCGTTGTTTGTCTGAGTTCTCCCCTCTCTCACACAGAGTGCAGTACGCAGGCTACTCGGTGACTCGGCCAGAAGGAGACACAGGGAAATACAAATCAATTCCCCACCATCATCGGGGAGAAGTGCAGTTCCTTGGAAGGCAAGTAAACTTTGTTCAGAATACTAAAGCCCTTCACAAACAATCTGTGCCATGTATGGGGCTCCCTGCAGCTGTTTGAAGGCAGTAACGGCCTGAACTCTTGAAGGAAACTCACTGCAGGGAGATGGAGGCTTTTTTGCAGAAGACATGTTTTTTTTGGGAGTTTCCATTTGAGTCTCATCTTTAGCCCTGCTCTTCATTTCTCAGACAGAATGCAGCCAGTCAGAGATGCTTCTCTCATTTCACTCCTGAAAAAGAGAAGTTGCTTTTGGCTTAAAAAGTCATATTTAGTCAAACCCTTGGAGCATGACAGGCTGGCAGTGCAGTGGGATTGAGCTCTGGTTTCTTATTCTTCCCTGGTGTCCTCCTGATCCCAGCCAGGAGCCCAGGTGTTAGCAGGAGCTATGTGGGAGGGGGAGATAGGCAGGGCAGAGTTGATGTGATGTCAGAGTGAGCTGATGTCTGTGCTGCTCTGTCTGGAGCTGAGACCCAGCCTGTCCTGGGGTTAGCAGTAGGTGTCCCCTGTGTCCCACCTCAGAAATTGCTTTGCAGGCAAGTACTAACTGCTGCCTCTAAAGCCCCTGCTACTTCTCCCACCTTTGCAGGAGCACCCGACACTTCTCTCTGCAGACAAGGACATGGTTCCTTCCTCAAGACACTAAGTGTTCTGCCCATGTCCTGGTGCTGTGTCATCTCCAAAATCAGCTTTGGCATTTCCCTCTGTGCTCTCACCCAGCATCTTCCCCTGTCTCCTGGCATATCCTTGCCCTGGTGTTTTCTCTGTCCTCAGGTCTCAGCCCAGCTCCCACTTGTCCTGGTGCCTTCAGGCCCCCAGCACCACATTTCAGAGAGTCACTGTTCTGCTGAGATGTTTGTGCTTATTTTTTCCCTCCCACCCTTACTCCTTTTATCTCATCATGCTGCCCCTAAATTTGATTGAGGCTGGTTTTGTGCACCACTGCAGTTTCCTTCTTTAGACCATTACTCTGCTAGTTTTACTTCCTCAGCCCCCATCCTTCAGACTAAAGCCGTTTAGTTCTGATCTTGTTTGTGTCCAGTTTTCTGAAAGTGGGAAGGACCACATCACCCATCAGCTGTGTCTTTCCAGGATGGTGTGGCTGGTGAGGGCTCAGCAGGACCCGTGCTCAGCCTCCTCCTGGCATTGGGGCCCACAGGCTTCAGGCAGGAGCCACGGGTGGTTTTGGCAGCTGAGTTCTTGCTGGTGGCACAGAGAGTGTTTTGCTCTCCATCAAGTGATGGACTTTCCTGGAATTTTCCAGTATTTATCAACACCAGAGTTTTTAAAGTGCAGTGGTTGCCTTTTTTAAGGCTCAGAAGTTGGTGGTTTTTGTAGCTGCTGCTGGGACTGGCTGTGTGAAGGGCTATAGCAGCACTGGGAGGAGTTTGCAGGGCTCTGTGGGGCGCGTGGCAGTGACTTTGGCCTCTGGCTCTCATTGCACAGGTATGCCTTGCTGAGGAAGTCAAAAGAAAGGCAAGCCCTGGACGGCCTCAATAACTTGAACTACTTTCCAAACGTCACGTATGACGCCTTGTATAAGAACATCACTGTTAACCTGACACCGGAGCTGGCTCTGGTGACCGAATATTAAGAGGAGAAAATAACTTTGCGCTGCCCTTCACCAGGAAAGCACCACGCTAGACTTTCTTTTTCAAGGGTTATCGAGGACAAGCAACACTTTGTCTAATGAAGGATCACAGTATTTTGGAGAGTGAGGCGGAACGTGCACGCACAAATTGCCCTAGCTGTACCAATCCAGCCCGACGCCCGTGCGGCGAGCTCAGCAGTCTCCTTATTTTCTCTGCCACTTGCTTTCTGGGTTTCAGGACAACAGTTGGACCTGCTGCTCTCGTCTCCACATTCCTCCTCCAGCAATCTCCAGCACTGGACTCGCCTCCGACACGCGTTCTCCTCCGGGAAGCAGCTCAGCTGAGCAACTCTGGCTTCTCGACGGCGAACGTTGGGAGCAGTTTGGTTGGCAGCTGCCCTGGTGGGAGAGCAGACGACTTCTGATGCCGTTCTTCTATGTCTGTGCAGTTTTTTTAAATGACCTGCTTGAAGTATATACAACAGAATCGCTTCTTAAAGAAGTGTAAGTGTAAATATGCTGTGTAAATTGCCCCTTTTTATTTTTCTCCTATGGGCTCAAGTCCAAGCTAGAGGTTTACATATGGTCACTCATTTTAGTCCTGAGTTCTGCAAACACTTGTGTGTGCATCACTACTTGTGCACTGTGTTCCCTTTTAAGCCAGTGAGGCTGCTTGCATGATTCCAGCTGTGCATATGCAGCAGTGTTTGTGGGACAAGGCCCCAAACCTTCCAGTGCAGCAGGTGACAAATACAGCCAGGCCATCGCTCATTCCAGAAACCACAGGGGTGGCTTTTTCCAGGGAGAGTGAGGACATGGGAGCGTTTGTGAAAAAACTCCCTTTTTCCATCACTTTTGCAACACGATGTGCAAGTGAATCCAAAAGCCATATGGAATATGATCCCTTGCCTGTTGCTCTGTGTCCCAGGGATGGCAGTGCAGCCTGGCTTGGGGCACCGGGCCGGCCGCCCCTGCCCCGTGCCATGCTCGGCATGGAGCAGCTGTCCCTGCTGCACGAGCCCTCCCCGGGCAGCAGTGCCTGGGGCAGTTCAGGAGGTTGGTGTGGTCGGTAGGGCAAATCCAGCAGCACACTGAGGCGCTGTCAGAGCCAGGCAGTGCCCTGGGCTGTCGCCCGCAGCACCTGGCAGCACTGGCACAGCCAGTGGGACAGGGTGTCACAGGTCAGTGAGAGGGAGAGACATGAAGGACACATGAGGACCGGGAGCCAAAGCTTGTTCTGACACCCCATCCAGCCCTCCAATGCCATCCCCGTTCCCCCACGGCCACCCAGGCCAGGCCAGGCCCCATGGCCCTCAGTCCAGCCCCTGCACAGCACTGACACCGCCACCTTCACTGGGCCTCTCTGACTTAAAGGTAAATACACTGGGGGTTGTTTTTCGTTTGTATTTCCACACAACAGAGTGGGTACTTGACCTCCGAAGTACTCTTAACTTTTCGTTGCGTTGTTTGCCTTCTGTTTCCTTCACTTCTCATGGTTTACATTGTTTTCTTGGTTCCGTGGACGTATGATCCCCATACGCATCTGTGGTGGGTGTGACTGCCCAGGGCATTCCTAACCTGTACCCAGAAAACGTTAGTGTAGAAACACGAGTTGTTGTGCAGATGCTATCAGCCGGCATGAGAGGGCAGCCAGCTGCCCTTGAGGAGCGCTGATGAGTTTGTAACCTAGGTTTTAAAGTCTTTGAACTTACATGTGCTTTAAACTCGCGTCCCGAGGGGATTCAGCCTGGTTATTTATAGGCAGAGGTGAGGATTTGCTTTTTCTGGCGCATATAGCAATAAAGACTTTCGCTTCTGAGTCTTGATCTCTAATTCACGTGGACCCTTCCCGGATGCTGAACCCGCGTTGCCCTGCCCCTCTTTTCTTTCACCCCGAGACCTTGCTAGGAATCTGTCTTTGTTTAATGGTGCTTCAAACAAGGAATGTATTTCAACTAGTCCAAGTTCACTACCCAGGAATCATGCATGTGTGTGTGAGTAGGTGATAAACTACCTTAGTTGGGATCCTCAGCCTTCCACGTCCCTGACACCCGTTGGTCGCACCTTGCGTGGAACAAAAGCCGTTACCTCTGCTCAGAGCTGCACTCTGCGGTCGGCACAGAAGGGTCCATCCCCAGCAGCATCCCTCTCCATCCTTCCTTCCTTCCCATCATGTTGGATTTCTTTTCCCCTTTTTGAGATGTGGATTATCTGAAAATGTGCACTGTTAATCTTAGCAGCTATGTCAAATACTGTATAGTAAATGTAACTGTTAAAAACATACTGTCAAGCGCATGTGCTGTTATGGTGTAAGAGTCCTCGTGCTAAGGAGAACCTGTACATACTCTGGCAGCTGCAGCTCCTCAGGCCGCTCTGCCCTGGGAGGGTAGGGCCCGGTGCCGCAGGGGGATTGCTCTCGTGGGCCATGTGGCTTTGATTTGCAAGGCTGTTTATTGGCAGCTGATTCTCCGAGGGAGGGAGGGCCTGCCTGAGCGGGCTGTGCCGGCGGGAGGGGCTGCCAACTCTCACCTAGCTTTCCATCATCATGGCTTTTGAGCTTACTGTTATGTTTTTAAGAGGTGCCAGGGGGACGTTTTTGCACTGAAGATTAGCGTTTTACAACACACACACACTTCTCAGCAAAGCAATCCTTTGTGTCATTACATTTATTTACCCATGTGTTTGTACATTTTTGTATTTGTTAATTTATGAATGATTTTTTCAGTAAAAAATACATATCCAAGAACACAGATTGCACTGGTTGCCTGTTTTTTTGTCTACAGGAGATTGGGGTGTGCTGTTTTAGTAGGTGAGACCTGCAAGCCCAGAGGGTAAGTGCCTATGAGAGTTTCAGGTGAGCACTGGATGCTAAAAGCTGTTAGAAATTTCTCGTTAGGGCTGGCCAGAAGGAAGTTGAGAGTGAGATGGGGATGCTCCCCAGTAGTTGCTGAAGCCTTTCTCCATGTGTCTGCTGCAGTGTAGTTCTGGTGGAGGGACTGCCTTGGGGGAGTGTGTTTAGGAAGACACTTGGCTGAAGGTTGCGCAGGGCTCGGGGATGGTGCTGGGGAATGTTGGTAATTGGATTTTTGATCAACAAGTCCTGGCAGACAGACAAGCTTCCTTGCAGCAGCTTTAAAATATCTTTCTCCTGCTCTGCAGTATACAGGCATGCTAGAATAAATAGCTGGCAGCCCTGAGTTGTTCCAAGCCTTACCTTTTTTTAGCTCTCCGTCTTCTGGGAAGTTTCCTCCCACCCCTGGAGCCTGCGGGGTGGCAGGATCCTCCCAGCAGTGCTGCCTGCCGGGGACGCAGCCTCACTGCCCAGTGTGCACAGGGGTCAGGGAGGGCCTGGCTGGCTCCTGTCCGTGCACTGGTGGGACCTCCTGCCCCGTTTGGGGAGTCTCCACGGCCTCCACTGGTGTACCAGCTGTGGGGCTTTCACTCCTGCATCCCCCCTGCTGCAGCCGGGCAAGGGCTGCAGGAGATAGATGCACATGGAGGGAGTTCCCTATACAGGAGGAATGAGAAGGGCAGAGAAGCCTCCAGCCTCTGTCCCAGCTGGGTGTACTGGGGCCTGTGGCCCCCAGGAGAGCTGAGAGCAAACCTTTAGCACAGAGGGTGGCAGGGGCCAGCACGACCCCAGCACAGCAGTGCCAAGCCAAGGCTTTCCCTGAGCAGCCCTCGCTGCAGGGGAGAGCTCTCCCTGCACGGGCTGAACAGCTCAGCCTGTGCTGCAAAACCCCCGAGCTCTGCAGTGTGTGAAAAAAACAACCAGCCACCAGAGCAGGGGCTTCTCTTCCTCCTCTTTTCCCTCCCCCATCTCCCTGTGGCACAATCAACCTGCCCAGGACAGCCTGGGCTGCCAGCCAGAGCCACACGCATCCCAGGCTGGCTGTGGGGCATCCCTGAGATGCTGTCCTGCTCAGGAGCTGGTGAACAGGCTTTGCGGGAGGTTGGGGCAGGAGTTTCTGTCCTATTCACACGTATTCTTACGGCACTACTCAGCCCCCGTGGGCTGGGAGGTGAGAGCACAGGCAGCAGCAGGGGCTGAGGAGAGGCAGGGCAGCACTGGTCCCAGCACGGCAAGGACCATGAGGTGGAAGTGCAACACTGATAATGCATTTCCTTCTTCCCCTTCGGAGCACTTGCTCTAGAAATCAAGGGTTGTCTGAAGAGCTGATCAATATCAAACTTGTCTTTAGAGATACCAGAGCAGGTGCCCACATAACTGAAGACAGGGCTATGAAAAAGAAGGGGCTTCTCTTGTCAGGCAGATGGAGTTACTTGAGCCACACCTGGATGGAGCTGGTGAGTGCTGACACCATCTGTCCCAGCAGGACAGGGCCAGGGTGTCTGCCCAGTGCCTGGTGGCACTGCCCTGCTGGCACGTGGCATTGGTGCATGCCCTGATGCTAGCTGGGCTGCTAGTGGTGATACCCTCAGTACTGCTTCAGAGGGTCCTCCAGCACCAGACAGCTGTTGTTAGGCTAAAAGTTTCTACTTCAAGCAATTTTCTTCCCCTTTAGGGCTACTAATTTCCTCCCTGGACAGCTGGATCAGGAGGCAGTGCTGTGTCACCAGCCATGCTGGAGCTTCGTGGCAAAGTGCTGTGGCTCTTGGGTTGGCCTCGCTCGCCCTGCAGAGGGAAAGGTGCTGACCCCAACCAGGACATCCTGCTGGCCCCAGAGCCTGGGGGTTTGCTGCTCCAAGAGTGCTCTCCATGGGAAGGACAAAGTGTCCCTGGATATTTATTCTTCCCTTGGGTGAACAGTGTGACAATATTGACTGTTATTTAAGAAGGGCCCTTGGTAGACAAGAGGTGAGGGGAAAAACAAGCAGGAGTGGCAGGGTCATGGAAGATTAACCACAGCTCTCAGGCAGCTGCTCTTAGTAATCCTTCTGGGGAGGACTTCCCAAAAAGACCCTTTCCTCTGAAAGACTCAGGTTTGCAGCCAAGGGCTGCTGGCAGCCCCTGCTGCTGTCCCATGATCAGTGCTGATAGCTGCAGAAAGGGGGAAACCAATGACTCATCCGGTGTCACCTGGGTGAAGCAAGAGCAAACACTCCCCTGAGGGCAGCAGGGACTTACCACAGCACAGCAGGTGCCACCCCTGGCAGCGCAGGGAGTGGGTGAGCAGGTCAGCATGGAGATCTGCAGGGTGCC